CTCGTTCTCGTTCTCGTTCTCGTTCTCGTTCTCGTTCTCGTTCTCGTTCTCGTTCTCGTTCTCGTTCTCGTGGTACAAGTTCATATTCTTCCTTTTTTTTTTCCTTGCGCAGGGGCCATGCTAATCTTCTCTGTATCGTTCCAAATTTAACGGATGTCCCAAAGGACACAAATCCATATTCTTGATTTCACTTAGAATAGAAAATTATTAAGAATATTAATAAGAAAAAGCAAGAACAAAAACAAAAGCAAAAGCAAAGACAAAAATGAGAACGTATTCTCATTCTCGTCGTGTTCTTGCTCTCGTCCTGGTTTTTGTTTTCTTTCTCTTTTTATTTTTAAATTCATATTTTCGTTCTAAACGAGAATATGAATTTGTAACTTGTTCCCTTTTTTATCCTAATCGTATCTCTTATCCATTAAGAAATGACAATGATGAAGCGGAATCAAAATCTGATTTTGGTTCTGATTACCCTTACCTTATCCTAGTCATTGGGTAAGTAATGAGTCAAAATCATTTTTTTTTTAAGAGAAATAATATGTGACCATTTCTCAGTTTTATGTGTGTCATCCTTGTGCAGGGGCCATGCTAATCTTCTTTCTCTGTATCGTTCCAATTTCAACAGATGTTGCAAAGGACAAATCAAATCTGATTCTTTTTTTTCTTTTTTCTGATTTTTAATTTTTTATCCATATCTTACTCATTGGGTAAGATATCAACCAGAACCGAATCTGATTTGATTTTGATTCATAATATTTAATATTTCATATCTTACGGATTCTTACCCTTATACTCTTTTTAACCACCAGTACCTCGGGGCCTGTTTTTGCCGACCCTGAATTTCACTGTGCACCGAAAGTTGTCGAGCCTGGGTCGCATTGCGTTTTCTTTTCTGCTTCTCTTCAGAAATGGAAAAAAAAAAGAGCAGACGAAAGAAAAAAAGAAAAAACAAAAAAACAAGGGACGTGAAAGCAGCCAGATGCAGAATCTGGGGTACATGTGAGAGTATCCACTCCCAACGGGCGTTACAGCCCTGATGAAATCACTGCAGCAGGAAAAAAGAAAAGAAAAGAAAAGAAAAGAAAAGAAAAGAAAAAAAGCAACAACTCTTTGGACGTGAAAGCAGCTAGATACAGAATCTGGAGTACATGTGAGAGTATGCCCTCTGAACGGGCGTTACAGCCCGTCTGTAATCACGACAGCAGAAATAAAAATAAGAAGAAGAAAAAAAAAAAAGCAACAACTCTTTGGATGTGAAAGCAGCTAGATACAGAATCTGGAGTACATATGAGAACGCGCCCTCCTTGCAAAGTGTCAGCTGTCCGCGGAATGCGCCCTGCCTCGTTGGCAGGGCACTAAAAGCGGATCACAAAAAAAGAAAAGAAAACACGGATACAAAAAACGAAACTGGCTATGTTTCTGGGTAGATGCGTTCCTTTGAGTACTGATGTGAGCACATCTCCTTCATGGCCTTCCCCTGACGTCCTTCCTTTCTTTTCCTTTTTTTTTTTTTTCCTTCTTTTCTTTTTTTTTTTTTTTTGGTATTCGGAAATACAACTGATGCCGAGCCTCTGGTACCTCCGAACTCTTCGGGGACTTTGGGAAAACTGCCAGTTTTCCCTAAAAGTAATTTCGCAACACTGGCGGAGGTACGAGTGATTTAATACCCAGTGAGGCCTACCAGGAGGACTGATATGAGCAGCTCCTTCTGGTAGGGCCTTTACTGGTCGCTCCAATATATTGCGGTGGGGAGCAGAACCTGCCGGAAACCAGGTCCAGTGTCCCATATACAACTTGTGTCCCATTATGAACTTGTCTGGTACGGGGGCCATTACCTGGCTTCGGTGGATGTAAGGGCAGCTTTGGGAATCGAGGAAATCGGGGAGAAAGTAAGGGGGGGTCTGCCTCTTCAGCCCATAACAGGGGCCACCAAATCTCCAGTTCCTGCTACCAGCTCCCCCTACCTTCTACCCTGCTAACCCCCATTACCACTGCGCGCCTACTTAAGAAAAGGGAGGGGGGAGGGAAAGGGGGGGTCGCTGAAATCCGCCAGGGGCCTCATCTGGACCGATCCATCCACCGCACGCCAGTCATGGAAGACGAGCTTGTAGTCCCTGACAAGCTGATCGTGATCAGCTCCTTGCTCACCTTGCCAATCTATTTTTTGCATCCACCCCCCCCCTCCCCCCGGTTCCCCCCCATCCAGCCATCGCAGACTTGTGTTATTTGTGTCCTAATGTCTGCTTTCGTGTGTACAAACTAGTTACTACTAAATAAAAAGGTGTTTTTTTTTTGTTAAAAAAAAAAAAAAAAAACACCAGCCACTAGGCTAACAGCCGGGCCACTCGGGAGGGTGGTTTGTTTTTGTTTAAAAAAAAAAAGAAAACTACCAGCCACTAGGCTACCAGCTGGGCCGCTCAGGTCACCTTGTTTGCCCAGGCTGCCCGGCCATGCAAGGACAATAGGAGGTGCCAGCAAAAAAAAAACAAAAAAACATCCATTTTTTTTGGCCCGCCCGGGCAAGTGGGCCTGTTACGGACTCCGCCAGGGCTCGATCCCTGGTCTATCTTTTTGCTGTTTCGGCTGCATCCCGTTTTCGGCCTGGCACCCTTTTTCCAAACCCCTCCTTTGGTACCGTAGGATTTTGGACAACTGGCGCCATGCTGCAATTCGGGCGCCACACTTTCAAATACTGCATTTTTCAGTTCTGCCCTCGGGGCCTTTGCAGAAAAGCCCCTGGTACCGTACGTGTCACCGGTACTTATACCGGCTCCCCGTACGGTACGGGGACCAGTCTTGTACCTGTTTTCTGCTGCTGTACTCGTACTCAGTGTGACTTGCTGTTTCGGCATTCGGAATCCAAGACTTCGACTTTGTGCCTTGCCACTGTGTCTGCGTCCGACCCTCAGTCCGAGTCCGTCGTGTCGAGTGAGTGAGTGTGTGTGTGTGCTCTCACTCTCTCCCTCTCTCTCTCCCTCTCTCTCTCCTCTCCCTCGGCTCACCCTCAGCCTCACGCTCGTTACAGGGCCACTCTGGTAGCCTAGACCAGCCACTGAAAAAAAAAAAAAAAGAAAAGGACTAGTTACTGAAGAGTCATGGATCGTTGCTTCTCAGGGTACGGGATTCGCATCTGCTAGAGGTTCTAGAAACCTCACACCCACAGAAGACAAGGCGGTCTTTGCTATGGAATCTCCTGCCCGCCTTAGAGGAGCCGGGCCCCTTGATCCCGATGAGGAAGATGCAGTGATGAGTCAAAGCGGACCGCCACACGGGACCGGCATCGGGAAGCTATGGAAATCAGAGGGACGAATCAACTTCACGGCTGCGCCAAATGGCGATCGGGATGCGTATCGGCACCACGGTCGGGATCAGGTTCGGCATCAGGAACGTGGCCGAGAACAGGGCCGGGAGTATTCGACATCCAGGATGACGCGACTGCAAGGTGGTGGAGTTGATGAGGGTAAAGGTTTGAAGCCTGCCATGCAGAATGCAGAAACCAATACCAGCTGTCCAATTCCATCCCATGCAGCATTCCTTAATCTGGAAAGTTCCCTAATGAGGAAAAAGAAGAGACTGGCAACAAATGACCCTGGTAAGTGCCGACTGTGATTATCTGATTGCTGCGAGTTCGAAGTTTTTTTCGTTTTTCTAACTGTTTTGAAGTTTTTTTCCTTTTTTGTGTTCAGTTTTCGCAGCCTTTTTGCGTTTTTTTAACTATAGAAAGCACTGAACATAGGGCCTCGCTCCACTACTGTCCGCTATACAAAATTTTGTACAGTTCGTGGACAGCAGCGAGAGTAGCGAAAAAACCGTGGAAACGCTGCATCGCCCCACTTACTGTCCACTATACAGCGCTCCAATTCGTGAGTGCACTACCAGACGCTGTGACGGCATTGCAAACCGGAAACACGCGTCAAAAAGTTTTTTTTTTTTGTTTTGTTCTTTTGGAAGAAGTGAAATCTCAATTTCATCCCATCCCTTAAGCAGCACTGGCTGTGGGGGGGAGGTCCATGACGTGCTGCGGGCCGGAGTCGGGTTGAAGTTTTGGTGAGGCATGGTGGATGAAGGCGATCGAGGGCGGGGGAGAGTGCAGAGGGGCGCGTGTACCGAAATGTTCACAGCGCGGCATTAAACGAGAGAGAGCGCCCCGGGGACGGGGCACACGGCGGGCGTCGATGCGGAAGAACATCTCGGAGGAGAGCCCTCCAATATGCGTGGGCGCCATTTGTTTGTTTGTTTGTTTTGCTTTTTCGTCGTCGCGCGTCTTTTTGTGTGGCCGGCGTTCTTTTCTTGTTTTTTTGGTACATTTTCGTGCGTCGTTTTGTGTTCCCTTTTTTTTTTTTACGTCTTTGCGCGTCTTTTTTTTTTTTTGTTCTTTTTTCCTGGCGCCTGTCATTTTGTGTCCCCGTTTTCCCTTTTCTTTTTTTCGTTTTTGTGTGTTGTTTTGTGGCCTCCTTTCCCTTTTCTTTTTTATCCGTTTTTGTGCGCGTTTTTTTTTTTTCTTCTCCCCCCCCCCCCCCGTTTTTTTGACTGCGGGCTTGTCCGGTTGGTTTTCTCGCCGTAAAGAGCGGCCCGCCGACCTGCACCCATGCACGCCCGCCCATCCACCCACACGCACGCATGCACGCTACCCCGCCCACCCACCAACCCACCCACACCCACCCAGGCACCCACGCCCATATATTTTTTTATCGTCAATTTGACTTTTTTTTTTGTCGGTCTGGATTTCATTCTTTTTTTTTCTCTTTTTTTCCTTCTTTTTTCTGTGGGTCTTGGTGAGTAGCGGAGCCAGGCCGGTGGTTTTTTTTTTTTTTTTTTTTTTTTTTTTTTTTTTTTTTTTTTTTGAGGGCTGCACCGTGCTCTATGGCAGTGCAATACAGAGGCAACGCTGAAAGGGTCGAGCAAGCAAGCTTACCCTTTTGACACCTCCATGGCACAAAAAAAAAAAAAAAAAAATTGCTGCGGCCCGATGGACTACGGATCAGATATTAAACTGATCAGAACAGAAACTACACTTGAGCTTAGCCAAAAGTGCGAGAAAGGTTGCCAGGCCGTTTTGATTTGGGTCTCGCTCGAAGGAAAAAAAAAAAAAAAAGACCGAAAAAAAATGGCGGCGCATCTTCCAATTCTCTAGTGGAAGATTCAGGCCATCGCCACACCACTCTCGAAATGTGCAAAAAGAGAATGAACTTCCCGGTAGAACATGGCCAGTTGCACCCGCCACATTTCTGTCTTTTTCACATTTCCCGCAGGGTATCTTTCCATGTTCTAGGTGAAGATTCATTCTCATTTTGCACATTTGGTGACCAATGGGAGCGAGGTGCAAAGTCCAGACTTTGGATCTCACTCCCACTGCTCATGACCAGTCCGTTCTCTCTCTTTCACACACACACAACACACAACACACAACACACAACACACACACACACAACACACGAGCACACACACACAACAGAGACACGTCGAAGTACGGCAAAGTTTGTGTGTGTGTGTGTGTGTGTGTGTGTGTGTGTGTGTGTGTGTGTCAGAGAGAGAGTGTGGCCAAGGTTCTGCCATCGCCAGTGGCACAAACTGAGACAAGCGTGCGCTGTGTAGATATGGTGCGCCTGTCTCAAAACAAAGGAAAAAAACAGGAATTTGAAAAAAAAAAAAACCATTTGCACGCTGTCAAGACGCACGTGGGATATGCAGAAGAGGTAGGCTGTCTCTGTCTCTCCTCCCCCTTTCTCCTTCTTTTTTTTTTCTGAATTTTCAATCTGTCATTTTTTTTAATTCGTCAATTAAGGTCAGACTTCGGAGTCGGTTTTAGGCTATTATTTAGTACCCTTTGATTCCTTTTTTTTTAAAGTCTGTCTGAGTTTATGCGAGCGGTCCGTGTGCGGTTACCTACAACATTTGTTATTTCTGCGGGCGTAGCCTGCACCGCCCGCACCGTGGGCTCTTAGCTAGTTACAATTGGAAGGTCGAGGCCGGGAATCCTCACGAACAACCCAGTAGGAAAGGAAAATGCTCGTCGAAAACGTTTTTGAAACGTGCGTCCAAAGACTCCAAACCGTTTTGACCGGCCAGACTCCAAGGGTAGGACCCCACTGGATGGCGGCAAGCCTTTGGAAGAAATTTTTGGGGACTCCATTGCTGGCGGCAAACACAAGCATTTATGTTTCCACTCTGCCTACCTCCGCTTTTTCAGCACACCAACCAATCCCTGTGCTTCCTTTCTGCACGGGATGGGTAAATCTAGAGGGTGCGTTTGCCTACCTCTAGAGCTCAGCAAACGAACCCTCTAGATTCACCCATCCCTTGTGGAAAGGAAGCACGGGGATTGGTTGGTGTGCTGAAAAAGCGGAGGCAAACTTGCCCGAAAAGGCAAGTCTTCCTGATCGGGTAACATAAACCTCAGGAAGTGCCGAAAATTGCTGTGGCGGTGGAGTCCCTTTTCGTTTGCCCATTCCCGTCGGCTACGATTCTGGGCTGGCGGATGTTTTGCTGGCGCCAAGCACCGCCAAACAGTGGGGTCCTACCCTAACGGTGGGGTCCTACTCTCCAAGGGCCTCGCTTCACTACTCTTCACATGCACAAAAGACAAAACAGATGGCGGTGTATATTTCCATGTTCTACAGGAAGATCCATTCTCATTTCGCACATTTGGAGAGTAGTGCAGTGAGGCCCCAAGTTTAGGTACGCATCGTGAGTAACTTGAAGGGGACTACCCACATGATAACAAATTTTGCAGGCTGGGAACGATACAATCGTGGACAGCCGATTGTCCATCCAATACAATCGCGGGCAGTCGATTGTCGATCAGTCTCGACAGTGCTGCAGTGCTCGCCCAATGTGCAACAATGAGAATGAATCCGCCTATAGAACATGGGAGTATACGCGGTCATATTTTTGTGGTGAGTAGCAGAGCGAGGCTATATGGACATTAGAAACCAGGGTCGTTTCTATTAGCTGTGGACCAGTGAGAACGAATCTTCTGCTACAACCCGGGTAGATACACTGCCATATTTTTTGTCTTTTGCACATCTGGTCTGCTGAGTAGTGGAGCGAGGTACTCGTCGCCACACTACTTTCAGATAAAAACGACAAAAAAAAAAGGAATCTACTGAAAAGAAACTAACGAATCTACGGAAAAATCGAAAACTGTGAATCGGCTGGGGAAGGAAAAAGCAAAGACTCTACGTGCCTCTGGGCTCTGTACTTGTATTTGAACATGCGCCGACCCCTACGGCGCATAGCCCGGGCAAAACCACAGGTCGAACAAAAAAGCCGCCGCGACAGCTCCGAGCGGAACCGCGCCCCGCACAACCGGCCTGGGCCCAATGGGAAAAAAAAGGGTCTCGCGTGACAGCAGTGTCACGCGAGACCCGCATTTTCATTTCTAAGAGTACAACGGTAGTATGCCTGCCGCGCATGCGACGGGGAGCATGAGGGGGGCAGCGGATGCAGGGTCCCAGCAAAGAACCGCACAGCCAGTCCCAGCAGCGGCGTCGGAGGGTGGGGGAAGGGGAGAAAGAAAACAAGGCACTGGAAGGTATCTGACCGGAATTGGGCATGCCATGTACTTGTATTCGAACATCTGACTAACACACAGCGATCAACAGGCTGTGCCGTCCACAAAAAAGGCCAGTCCACTACCCAAGAGCAAGCTCGGTTGGTACACCCATAACTCTTGACATACAGACCCGTGTTCGAATCCAGGGGCCAAGTCCCACTTACCTGAAAGATCGATTTCTGACCGCAGATTTCGAAGATCAACGACCGGAAATCAAGGATCAGCGTAAGTGAGACTTGGCCCCAGGTGATGACAATGATGAGTAAGACCAATTACTACTGAATTGCCTGGGGACGGTCAGCTGAATGATGATATCTCAAGGCCGTCAACTGCTGGGTTGTCGTGCGAGACCCTAAGAGCACTGCCAGATCGGACCTCGCTCCACTACTCACCAGGGAAAAAACCAAAAATTTAAACAAAAAAAACTTCTGAGGAAAAAACTGACGATTCCATTCTTTTGTCGTTTGTGGCCATGGCGAGTAGTGGAGCAAGGCCCTCTGCACTGCTCACCAAACAGGCAGAGGGCCTGGCTGCAGTACTCTTCAAATGTGCAAAATGAGACTGGATGCACCGCTAGAACATGGAAAGATACATTGCCATCTGTTTTCTCTTTTGTGCATCTGGAGAGTAGTGCAGCCACGCCCAAAGTCCAAATGAATTTTCACCTGGAACAGTGAAAGATACACCAACATACTTTGGGCCTTGCTGCACCACTCTCCAAATGTGCAAAATGGGACTGAATCTACCTCTAGAACATGGAGAGATACTTTGCCATATTTTTCGTCTTCTGTGCATGTGGAGGAGAGTAGTGCAGCGAGGCCCTTTCATCCAGCCCTTCTCCGAAAAAGCCTAAAAAAGGAAGAATATTATCTACTGAAAAAAACAAACAAAAAAAACGAAGAATCTACTGGCCAAAAGAAAAAACTGCTCTGCATGTCGCGGTGCTATGTACTTGTATTCCAACATCCACCCGGCGAGTCGGAAATGGCAGCAACTCTTCATGTTGCTGGGCCAACCCCTTGTCCCGGCAGCTCTCCCAACACTGGAAGGCGGGTGTTACATTCTGCATTACACACGGGCCATTCCAGGCCCGACGACAGGACCGAGGGGCTACCCAGGGCCTGGACACGGTAGTCCAGGCCGGTCCGGTCCAAGACTCCCACAGGCCGCCCCATAGGCCCTTGGACAGGCCCAGGCGGGGACCGGTCCAAATGACATTACCGTTTGGACCTGGCGGCTGACTTTGAGGCTGCCCTCCTCGGGTCTGATCTGAACCGCAGATCGGACACGAAATCTGACGGTTCAGATCACGAGGCACGTTCGCAGCCTCAAGGCTGAACAGGCCACCGCCGGTACTTAGGACCGACCGGCGGCCTGTTCAGGATCTTTTCTTTGGGCCTACAATCCAGAGACACGGCGGCAGTTGAGGAGCAGCGCTGCGCTGATTTTGGTTTAGCGCAGCTCCGAGCGCTGCAGCACTGATTAGCGGTTAGAGGTGGCAGACGGGCACTTACTGGCTTACCTGTGCAGCGCCATAGCTCCAGCTTGGAGACGCGGGTCTTCGACAGCGCCAAGGCACCCCCTTGCACCTGAAGGTAAGGGCCTGGGTACGAGATCCGGGAGTGAGGACTCTCCTCCTCTCTACTTCGCCATTCCCACCTCTCGTCTGCCCTCCTCGTCTTCTTCTTCTTCTTCTTCTTCTTCTTCTTCTTCTTCTTCTCCAGACCCCCTCTTCCTCTTCTTCAGATGAGAGACTTTGGGTACGAGATGGACAGAGATCAGTGATTGGACTTCGGTGATAGGAGGATATGATACTCACCGGATTCGAGACATTGGGGATATTTGGGATTGATACCTGGCGGCATCACAGATTGGACATCAGTTGCATTAGGATTCTGTACCTCCGACATTGGTGACTTATGTCAACGACATTTTGTTCGGTGACATTTTGGACTACTATAACGGTGACATTCTGGATTCTATTTCGGTGACATCTGGCGCTGTCCCTATCTCCCACCTCCATCGTCTCTCCTCCCACCATTCATCTGTGTACGGGTGTACAGGGCTGAAACATCGTCTATGTATGGCTTCAGACCCCACCATCTCACAATTACTTGTGTGTTGAGTGATGTCTAGGTGAGTTCAGTCTATGTGAGTCAGTCCATATCTCAGACTTCTGCTGCATATATGCTCATCCTATATTGGTTGATCTTTGGTTCTGCCCATACTTGGTGAATGTATTCACTAGTATGCAACAGCGGGTCTGCGTGGGAGCGTTACACGAGACCCACAATTCCCTTTAAGAGTATAGAGAAGAAGAAAAAAAGAACGCACGTAAGGGCCTGGTTGCACTACTCTCCATACGCCAAGTTTGGCGAGTAGGCGCCTGGTTGCACTTACTCGCCAAACTTGGCGAACGAAAAATATGTCAGACTGCTCGGCACACCGTTGACACAAGTTGTGGCGAGTGTTTTTGGTTTCCCCGCCTGTGCACGGCGGTTTGTGGAGGGTGGTGGTCCTTGTACCTCTCCACAAAACAACTTTCTGGAGAGTGCACGGCTTCAAGAGTCGACAGCAGGCAGACAATTTTTTTTAACGTTTCTGTAGATGAAATATTGTAGCGAGTAAGTGCAACCAGGCCTCCAGTTTGACACGATTCTCACTTTTTTTCACTCTCCACCCATCCGCCACGAATTGTGGCCGATGGCGAGTAGTGCAAGTAGGCCCTAAAAGTAAATGAAGTCATTGAATGATAAATGCTCGTTGGTCATTGAATGATAAATGCTCGTTGGTCATTGAATGATAAATGCTCGTTGGTCATTGAATGATAAATGCTCATTGGTGTTCCGCGATTGTTCAGGAAGAGGATGTCTTTGTCGATCCTTTGTCAGAAGCGACCATGCTCCAGCCAACTTGTCGATTCACATCGAGGGAGCGGATTCAGAAACAGGGTCATCAAAACTCCGGGTGAAACGGAAAGCATCCGTTTGGAGAATGAAGGGCGCTTCCGGAAGCTGCATCTGTCCGTATGGTCGAAGACAATCCGGAAGCGTTGTGGACGAGTCTGGATGTCTGAGGAAAAGCAGGAGATTGCGGTGTCAGCACTCGAGAGGAGGAGGAGGAGGAGGAGGCGGAGGAGGAGGAGGAGGAAGAGGAGGAGGAGCAGGAGGGGTACCACATGGCTGTTCACACAGAGAGTTACTTAAGAATAGCATGTTGGTAGAGAAATCGCTGGCGACTGGCAATGAGAATCCTTCAACGATCAAATTGAACGAAAGATCGGTCAACGGTGGAGACGGAGGAGGGATTGGTCATTCCGAAAGTGCCCGAGCTAAGGTACTCTCCCGATAGACACTTCACAGTGTTCACACTCTTTGAAGCAAAGTCTTTCTTCCTTTTTTTTTTTTTTTTTTTTTTGCTTTTTTGAGTGAAAGACTGATTGGCAAAAGCCAGCCTGAGCATGATGATAGATTAGATGAAGATTAAACCAAAAAAGAAAAAAGAAAAAGATACACCCATTCACATGACATCCATCGCACATGCATTATGAAGCCATACTTGAGAATGATGAGATAACGAGCCAAAACCTAATCTTTCATGACATCCATCGCACATGCATTATGAAGCCATGAGAGTATATTGTAGACACTTTGTGATACTTCTCTTTTTCTTTCTTTTTCCTTTTTTGAAGTTCTTTTCTTTTAAACCACCACCACCACCACCACCATTTATTTATTTTATTTTTTTAATTTTTTTTCCACCTTTCTGGTTGGAGGGCGAAGTCATTAACATAACCTTTGGGTCCTATACTGCTTTCTTCAGAGGTCGGCGGCAGCTGGGCGCTGTTGGTCAAAAGCCTGGCGGCACCAGCCAGAGCAGAACAAAAAGCGCCATGCTCATCCATTATCACTGCATTCCAACCGCCAATCCAAATCACTAAACGAATCGCTTCCTCCAGGAATCGAACCTGCAAACCTTAGCTCTTCGTTGGATTCTTGAAGGCGCCTGACCACAAAATGACTTGTCACTGTAAATCTGCTGATCATAAATCGGAATGCCTAGCGTCTTCACCCGAATAGAACACCCGGTCATTATAGCTGCATTTGGCACAACTTTCAGCCCAGATACGGCGATAATTACCGGGGGTTCTATTCGGGAGAAGACGGTAGCGCAAGGCAAAGTGAGCTAGGATGGAGCTGAAGCTTGCAGATGCGAATTTCAGCGCGCCCCAGTATGGTGGTACGTCACATACCACCATGACCTGGTGTACCCAGACACAAGTTCAACCATGTCTTAGCCGTTGCAGTCAGGTGTTAACGTGTTATCCATTGGTGCCAAAAATGATTGACGGCCACTGTTTTTCTTGGGGGGTGGGAGGAGGGGGAGGGGGAGGGGAAGGGGGGGGCATGAACTTTCACCAATGTTTTTTTTGGTCCTTGCAAACCAGGCAATTAAATGCCATACAAGGTTGATGACCAGGTTTATTCTATTTAGGGTTTAGCTGAAAATCGATGGCGGGTTCAGTCGAAAGCCGCCGGAGATATGGTCAGTTGTGACAGGCATCCTCATAATAAGCGAAGAATTGGGGACCGCAGCCCTTGTCTCTCGTCAGCCGCACGTCAAGCTGTCAGTGACGAAATGCAGGTGCGTTCTCATGTCACGCTTCAGAAGCTGACCTCCCCCACTAAACCCTAAGCCCTAACCCTAATGGGAAGGTCTAACCCTTCACCCTAACTCTCGGGCAACCCCTAACCCTCAATCCTAACCCTTAATCCTTGACCCTAACCCTCATCCTTAACTCTTAACACTAACTATTAAATCCTAGCCCCAATGGTAATCCCTAACCCAGAAGCCTGATTCTTAACGCTTAACGCCAACCCTAAGCCCCAACCCCGGATCCTGACGCGTAACGCTTGACCCTAACCCTTAGCACTAACCCTTAACCCTAACCCTTAACCCTAACCCTTACCTCTGGCACTGGGTCCTAACCCTTAACCCTTAACCCTTGGGCCTTGACCCTTCCCTAATGGTAATCCCTAACCCAAAACCCTGACTCTTAATGCCTAACACCAACCCTAAGCCCCAACCCCGGATCCGGACGCTTAACGCTTGACCCTAACCCTTATCACTAACCCTTAACCCTAACCCTTACCTTTGGCACTGGGTCCTAACCCTTAACCCTTAACCCTTGGGCCTTGACCCTCGCCTAATGGTAATCCCTAACCCAGAACCCTGACTCTTAATGCCTAACACCAACCCTAAGCCTCAACCCCGGATCCTGACGCTTAACGGTTGACCCTAACCCTTAGCACTAACCCTTAACCCTAACCCTTACCTCTGGCACTGGGTCCTAACCCTTAACCCTTAACCCTTAACCCCTAACCCTTAACCCTTAACCCTTCACCCTTAACCCCTGGGCCTTGACCCTTGACCCTAACCCTTAGCACTAACCTCCTCAACCCTACTACCCCTTAACCATCGGGTCCTGGACCCTGAACACTAATCCTCAACCCTCACCCTAAAGACTATCCACCAACCCTAACTCACAACCCTACCACCTTCACCTGAATAGAACGAACAGTCGTTATCGTCGTATCTTATATTATAGACTGAAAGGTGCCCCAAATACGACTATAATGAGCGTACGTTCTTTTCGGGAGAAGACGGTAGCCCTTATCGCAACCCATAACCTTACACCGAAAACCCGAGTTGTTACCGTTGTACCCCGAACTTTCCAAACCCTTCACTCTTGACCTAACCTCCTCCTGTTAGATGGTTAACCCCCCCACTCTTTGTTGTTAGACTTATCAGAACTTAACCACACTTCCTTTCTCTCCTTACTCCGGAAATCCGGAACCTTTTCAATTTCTCGAACTAGACTTCTAAACCCTGAGCAATGAACGAGGGCCTAATTTTCTTTCTCTTCTGTTTCGTCTGTCCTACCTGCCTATTTTTCCTGCCCATGGGCAGGATGACCTTCCCACTTTAGGAAACCTTTCCACTTCAGGAACGTTGGTATCGCTTCCGCTCCAGGGATTGGAGAGGGTATCTGCCCAGGACGTGCTATCTTTGCGCCAGCACCTTGATCATGCCGAATCCCAGCTTAAGAAAGCGCTAGCGAGGGCGGAAGCTGCGGAACGGAAACTGGAAGAGGAGCGGGAGGTGTGCTTGGGACAAAGCAAGAAACAGCGGGCGGAGTTGGAGGAGATGACAAAAGAATTACAGAAGAAATTACTCCGGTGTGTAGAATTCCTCTCTATAAAGTGCTAAGTTGCTAACACACTTTATCAAGTTCTTTAATTTAATAAATTAATACTCATTAGTACTCATTAGTACCAGTTCTTCTACTATCGAAGAATCATGGTCGTGCCGCCTCTTTTTTTTTTGGTTCCTTATCTTAGGCTGTATTTGTTCTCTCATTTCTTTTTTTCTGACGAAAACGTCGAAAAGAAGCACGTTCTCTAACTGAAATTGCATTCAGTGGACATTGTTGGGGTGCCCTTGAGCAGGCAGTTAAGTAAAGAGAGGGGGGGGGCGGGGGGGGGGGGGGGGGGGGGGGGGGGGGGGGGGGGGGGGGGGGGGGGGGGGGGCGTAGTACACTTCTTGGGGGGTATCAGCCCCCCATATTTGCAGATTGAGATGAAATTTTATCTAGGTCCTCCTACTTCCTTTTCAATTTGTCAGAATGGGCCTGCAAATGGACCCTCCAAAGGGGCAATAAGCCTTTCTGAAATACTATGCTCCCTCCAACGGGACCTCCTGAAGAAATATGGCCGTTTTTTTCCTGAAATGAAGGCCCCTTTAAAGTTTGAACTACCAACCCAACGGCTAGAGATTCCGCAGGAAAAGCGCTACCGCGGTACCGCCTTCATTTTTCCCAAGGCCTGCATTGTAAATTTTAGGCTCGGCAAAATGTATTTTGTGGTTCGTCAATTTATCTTCGGATGGACTGGTGGTTTAAGGGACTGATAATTTTTTTTTTTTTTTTTTTTTTTTTGTTTCAATTTCGAACATTCCTCGATTTTAATATTTATGCGTGTCATCCTTGCACAGGGGCCATGCCAATCTTGTTTCTCTGTGTCGTTCCAATTTTAACGGATGTCCCAAAGGACAGGACTGATAATAATTTGTGAAATCCAAAGCAAAAAAAATGTATGCACAATGCACATCTCATAGTGTAATGTCCTGACAAAGGAGGGATATGAGTGCAAGAGTCGGGCTACAGCCCACTTTCCGCCGGTGATAAGTGCGCATGAATCTGGTCACCAATGCCGTGAGGTTCATTGTGAGTTTCTTGTGCACAATAATCACATCATCTGTGGAGCTGGGCCCTGAAAGTGCAGTACGGTACAGAACCCCGGAGCCCTTACCCTAACAAGATTAATTTCTGAATAAATCATTAAACAGACCTTCAGATTGACCCCAAAAGGCCCAAAGGCCCCAAACTCATCCCTAAACTAGGCACCTTATTGGCTCCAAGGGCTGTTGAGGGTGGCATTTGACTTTGACTTTGACTTCAAGCTCGACTTTGACTCTGCCTTTGAGCTCAACTTGGACTTGGACTTGGACTCTGACTTCGAGCTCAACTTGGACTTGGACTTTGAATTTGACTTTGACTCTGACTCTGACTTTGAGCTCGACTTTGAGCTCGACTTTGAGCTCGACTTTGAGCTCGACTTTGAGCTCGACTTTGAGCTCGACTTCGACTCTGACTCTGACTTGGACTCTGACTTGGAATTTGAATCTGACTTTGACTTTGACTTTGACTTTGACTTTGACTTTGACTTTGACTTTGACTTCCACTTTGAGTGTGACTTTGACTTTGCCTTTGACTTCCACTTTGAGTGTGACTTTGACTGTGACTTTGGATTTGGGCTTGACATGGTTTTTAACAGGGAAAATCTCCTACTCCCTCAAACTAGTGTGCTGATGAAATAAGTAGGACGTACACATCAGATGACAAGGAAGAAAGCAATGACACACAGTTATTCGGTCACAATGTTGACGTTGACCTTGACTTTGACTTTGACAGGGTCATTGTGTGCCTTCCGTTACTCCAAAAGGTGACCAAGAGGAGCAAGTGATTTCTGGACGAAAAAAAATTATCGGCCAGAGATGCATAGTACTGCATAATGTTGCGTGGTAGTGCTGCGTACTGCTGCATAGTAGTACTGCTTGCTGCTCAGTACTGCCATCTATTTTGCATAGTCCTGCATAATGCTGCACACCACTGCAAAGTACTGCGTAGTACAGCATAGTATAGCATAGTACGTCACAGTGCGGCATAGTACTGTATAGTTCTGCATAGTGCTAACGTAGCACTGTCTTCTACTGCATAGAAACTGCATTGTGATACTGAGTAGTGGTACTGCCTGGTACTCCGTATCACTGCATAGTACTGCATACCACTGTGTAGTACTGCATAGTACTGCATACCACTGTGTAGTACTGCATAGTACTGCATAGTATTGCATAGTAGTACTGCAGAGTAGCACTTCATAGTAGTACATCATAGTAGTACAGCATAGTACTGCATAGTAATACTTGATAGTACTGCATACCACTGCATATAGTAGTACTGCATGCCACTGCGTACTACTGCATAGTACTGCATAGTACTGCATATTAGCACTGCATAGTACTGCATTAGAGTAGTACCGCATAGTACTGCATTAGAGTAGTACTGCATAGTACTGCATAGTACTGCATAGTACTGCATAGTTGTACATAGTACTTCTCCATAGTACTACTGCATAGTGCTGCACATTGTGGTACATAGTACTACATAGTACTGCATAGTGCTGCATAGTACTGCCTTGTACTGTATATCACTGCAAAGCAATGTATAGTTTGTTCTGCACAGTATGCATGGTGCTGCATAGTACTGCATTGTGCTGCATAGTAGTGCTTCATAGTACTGAATAGCAATGCATAATAGCTTCCATGGGGAAACTAGTACTACTGTTATTGCGACCTATCGAACTATCCTGTCGGTGAGTCAGCTCTTCGGGGTATATTGGACTCTGCTCTTGTATATGCATTCAGACAGCACTTGAGGCGGGGTCAAAACAATGCTATGTTCGTGCTGAAGAAACATGACCTTGGTCATACTGATCACCCAGGTTCATGGTGACTTATCATAGCCATAGCTCCAGAGTCCATCCTTATCAACAGGGTCAGGCCCCAGTCATCACATTTAGGTTTATGTTCTAAACTAAGTAAACTTCACCTCCTTGAGTCCTTGTATTCTGAGCTTCTTTTTTCCTTTTTTGGACTATCCTTTGTTTTCCAATCTGATTCTTCAAATTGCCCTTAAAAAATTATAATTCAATACCTGGCATTACCTGCAGTAATGTGTCATCTGACTCATCTCCAGTTAACTTTTTTAAACTTTTTAAAAGTTTTTTGCCATCGCATTAAGGGCAGGATCCTAATAGGCAGTACTGTGTGAGCACTATGCAGTATTATACAGTACTATGCTGTGCCGCACTATGCCGTACTATGCCGTACTATGCCGTACTATGCCGTACTAGGGCGTACTAGGGCGTACTAGGGCGTACTATTGTGTACTATGTCGTACTATGTCGTACTATGTCGTACTATGTCGTATTACACAGACTATTTAGGGGTAGGATCTCGCTACGAAGTCTGCGCGATACTCCAGCGGAGCATGATCTTAGCGGGCAGGCCTCACTAGTGCTATCTCTGTGCTCATGAAGGAAGAACTTGGCCGTTTTTAGACCTAGGTTCATGCTTGCCAAGCACGAGCATGGCCCCAGGTGGCCCCACTACCATCTTCACCCGAATAGAATGCTCTGTCATTATAGCAGTATTTAGGGCAACTTTCGGTCCAGGTGCAGTATAAATGACTGGACGTTGAATTCCGGTGAGAAGACGGTAGTGCTATCTCTGTGCTCACGGAAGAAGAACTAGGCCGTTTTTTTAAGACCTAGGCTCATGCTTGCCGAGCACGAGCATGGCACAAGGTGGCCTCACCAGTGCTATCCCTGTGCGCGTGAAGGAAGAACTTGGCCGTTTTTAGATCCAGGTTCATGCTTGCCAAGTACGGACATGGCACCGGGTGCATCGCTACCTTTTTCTCCCGAATACAACATACGGTCATTATAGCTGTGTATTTAGACTGAAAGATACCCCAAATTCCGCTAGAATGACCGTACATTGTATTTTGGGGAAGGTAGTGCTCTCTCTGTGCTCACGAAGGAAGAACCGTTTTTAGACATAGGTTCATGATTGCCAAGCACAAGCATGGCACCAGATGGCCTCACTAGTGCTATCTCGGTGCTCACGAAGGAAGAACCTGGCTGTTTTTAGACCTAGGTTCATGCTTGCCAAGCACAAGCATGGCACCAGTTGGCCATACTAGTGCTATTTCTGTGCTCAGGAAGGAAGAACCTGGCCGTTTTTTGACCTAGGTTCATGCTTGCCAAGCACGAGCATGGGATCCGTGGGGCATGACTGTAAGGGTCCGGTCACACTGAACTGCCCGTTCAGTGCGTTCACACTATAAAGCGTGGCATGAATCTGTTAAAGCTACTTTTTTGAAGTTTTTTCTTTCTTTCTTCCTTTTTTTAAGCTGTCTTGTCCTCATATATGGTGGAACAGTTGTATTCAGTATGCTATTTTCTTCTCTCAATATTTTTTCCACCTCACTCTAGCTACCTACATTCTGCCTGCTAACTTCAGGATTGTGGATTGAAAAAAAAAAAAAAAAAAAAAAAAAAAAAAACAGAACCTTATTAATTCTGGCTCCTTATCCATTCTCAGGAGCGTCACTCCAGTTCCTTTTCCACTGGCAAGTCAGAAGGGAATACAATAAAAAGTTAAAAACTCGCTCACGCTTGTCCACCTTATGCTATGAAGGCCTGAAGGACGGCATTGATTAGCATTGTGGAATCCGAATTTCGCTCATTTGCTTCCCCTGGAGTTCGAGCCCGGGTCTGTATTTCAATTTTCAACAGTTCTGGGAGTGTACCAACTGAGCTAGGCCAGTTGATTACCATGTGCTACCTTACCTAGACAGCCACAAGAGGAGAATTCTCTATCTATGCTCTGT